GGATGTTTCCGTCACTGCTACCTCCCTGGCTCAGGGTATGAAGACCGGTGAGGCTTTCGCCATGGGTGAGAAGCCTACCCTGGCTTTGATCTCCGCGGCTGCTTCTGCTCGCATGGCTGTTGCTGAGTCCCTCATGAACTTGGCTGCCTCTGATCTTGTGGAGCGTCTCAGCCAAGTGAAGCTCTCAGCAAACTGGATGTGTGCTGGTAGCCACCCTGGTGAGGGAGCTGCTATTTACGAGGCCGTTGAGGCTATTGGCTTGGACCTTTGCCCGAAGCTTGGCATCAGTATCCCCGTAGGCAAGGACTCTATGTCCATGAAGATGAAGTGGAAGGACGAGGCTTCCAACGAGGCCAAGGAGGTCACTGCCCCCATGTCCCTTGTCGTCTCTTCCTTCGCCCCCGTTGGCGATATCACCAAGACCTGGACCCCGACTCTTCGCAGATTCGAAGACGTTGGTGAGACTGTCCTCATGTTTGTTGACCTCTCGTTCGGCCGCAAGACCCTTGGTGGATCCGCACTTGCCCAGGTCTTCAACGAAGTTGGCGCCGAGTGCCCCGACGTTCGTGACGTTGATATCCTCCGCGACTTCTTCGATGCTACTCAGCAACTCCAGGAATCCGGAATTGTCCTGGCCTACCACGACCGCTCCGATGGTGGTCTTCTGACTACCCTCGCCGAGATGATGTTCGCTGGCCGTTGCGGTGTTGAGATCATGCTCGACAACATTTGCTCCTCTTTCCACACCCAGGATGTCATCGAGTCCCTCTTCAACGAAGAGCTCGGTGCTGTCTTCCAGGTCCGCAAGGAGCACGAGATCCAGTTCCGCTCATGCTTCGCCACCTGCGGTCCTCCTCCTGGTCTGATTCACAAGATCGGACGAGTCTCTGAGCAACCCAAGCAGAGCCTTGTGATCTACCACAAGGCCTCCCTTGTCTACCGCAACACCCGTTCCAACCTCCAGCAAACCTGGGCCAAGACCTCCTACCACATGCAGAAGATGCGTGACAACGCCGACTGTGCCGAGCAGGAGTATGCCAACATTCTTGACGATGCAAACGCTGGTCTCTCGTGGAACCCTACATTTGACCCCAAGGACAAGGGCTTGCCCATGATGACCAGTCTTTCCCAGTACTCTCCCTTCGCCAACAAGCCTCGCGTTGCCATTCTTCGCGAGCAGGGTGTTAACAGTCAAGCCGAGATGGCCTTTGCCTTCAACACCGCTGGCTTCTCCGCCGTCGATGTTCACATGACCGACATCATTTCTGGCCGTGTTTCCCTTGCCAGCTTTGCCGGTCTCGCGGCCTGTGGTGGTTTCTCATACGGTGACGTCTTGGGTGCCGGTCAGGGCTGGGCTAAGTCTGTTCTGCTGCACGACAACACCCGCAAGGAGTTCCAATCCTTCTTCGAGCGACCCGATACCTTCGCCCTGGGTGTCTGCAACGGTTGTCAGTTCCTGTCTCGTGTCAAGGATCTGATCCCCGGTGCCGACTACTGGCCTAGCTTCGAGCGCAATACCAGCGAGCAATACGAAGGCCGTGTCTGCATGGCCCGCATCTCCGACCCCGACCCCTCCAACCCCAGTGTCTTCTTCCACGGCATGGATGGTACTTCGCTCCCTATTGCCGTTGCTCACGGCGAGGGTCGTGCCTCCTTCGCCGGCTCCCGGGGTATCTCGGCCTCCGACTTCGTTCGCGAGGGTCTTGCCCCCGTTCGCTTTGTCGACAACAACTCCCTCAAGCCTACCATGAAGTATCCCTTCAACCCCAACGGCTCTCCCGAGGGTATTGCTGGTATTCGCAGCCCTGACGGTCGTGTCTTGGCCATCATGCCTCACCCCGAGCGTACTGTTATGAACGGCATTGCCAGCTGGTTGCCCCCGAACGCCGAGAACTGGGGCGACATTGGTCCTTGGGGACGTATCTTCTACAGCGCCAGACGCTGGGTCGGCTAAAATATGTCCTCATTTACGAAGCTTTACAATTTATTTCCTTTTTTTTAAGTTCTTGTCTATATTTTTCTTGGTGGCGTTAAAGAAAAGCCAAAAAATGACCCCGCCCCCAACCCGTATATACCAAAATTGAGCAATCCACGTTTACTTCCAAATATATTTCATATAAATATTATGCAGATGTAGTCAGAACACGGAGTATTAAGGGCTTATCGCTGTACGGAACGGTTCCGATACGGCCGATCCCTGGCTCCCGTTCCAAATTTGGTGGGGTGAGTCAAAAATCTATCCCACCTTTTCTTTGTTGCGCCTCTTCACTTCTACACTCCCCCAATTCCGACTTCAATCATGGATTCCGCGGCTCAGGCAAGATACGATCTGATCACTAACAACCTCGCTGAGGTTCTGGACCCTGAGATCATCCAGAAGGTCTTGGCCGAGGGTCGCAACCCCCGAATTTACTGGGGTACCGGTATGTTCATCGACGCGGCAATCGCCGATCATTGCATTGCAATACCTATTACCGGGCTAGAAATTGCCCACACGGGGATTAAACGCTAACATATCTCTCTTTTTCGACCTAAAGCTACGACTGGACGGTAAGTTACAACACCGGGACTGTTAAATGGCCAGGGACGTTGTGTTAACGTCGTGTTTCTCTAGCCCACATACCGGATACTACAGCCCTGCCCTCAAGATCGCCGAATTGCTAGCTGCAGGGTGCGACGTTGTCATCCTCCTCGCCGACATTCACGCCTTCCTCGACAACCTTAAGGCACCTCTCGAACTCGTCGAAAACCGCGCGAAATACTACTCGAAGGTTATCACGGCGATCCTGAAGTCTGTCGGCGTGCCCACCGAGAAACTCGAATTTGTTCTAGGCAGCTCCTACCAGAAGAGCCCTGAATATGTCATGGATGTCTACAAGCTGTCTTCAGTTGTCTCTGAAGTACAGGCAAAGAAGGCTGGTGCTGAGGTCGTTAAGCAGACTGGCAATGCGCCTCTGAGTGGGTAAGGATATTCTACTAATTTGCCTACCTAGGTAGGCTCTAATTTGCCTCGGCTCATCCTAACTAACAATCACTAGACTGTTGTACCCAGTTCTCCAGGTCCTTGATGAAGAGCACCTCAAGGTTGACGCCCAATTAGGTGGTATCGATCAGCGCAAGCTGTTTGTTGCCGCCAAGGAGTGGCTTCCTAAGATTGGATACCGCGAGGTAAGATCATTGACATAAAAGCCTATCGCAACCTTGGAAGCTTATAGAAGTCTAGCGTGCCCACCTGCTCAACCCTATGGTTGCAGGCCTCTCTGGCGGAAAGATGAGCTCTAGTGAAGAAAGTATGTTTTCCCCTCCCCGGGTCTCTATGTCTATTTCAATCAATACTAATGGCCGAATAGATAGTAAAATCGATCTTCTTGACAACGCCGACACCGTTACGAAGAAGATTCGCAAGGCAGAGGCATTCCCTAAGATCGTTGAAGGCAATGGTATCGTTGCACTAGTCGAATTCATCCTGCTTCCAGCTGCCGCTCTGAGGGGCAACAAAGAGTTCCGGGTCGAGCGTAGAGATGCAGAGCCCTTGGTCTACACCGATATCAAGCAGCTCCATGACGATTACACAAACGATATTGTATGTTCACCTATGGTATACCCTGATCGAGAACTTAGGATTGAGTACTGACGCCGTTATAGTTGACCCCACAACTACTGAAGCCTGCTGTTGCCGCTGGCCTGGTCGAACTTATGGCGCCTATCCAGGCTGCCTACGAGACTGACACCGAGTGGCAGGAGATTGCATTGAAGGCTTACCCCCCTCCCGTTGTGCACAAGAAGGTGAAGAAGCCTAAGGACAAGGGCTCTCGTTTCCCCGGTGCCAAGCCGGAGGCTGGTGAAGCAGCTAAGCCAACTACTGATGGCGCTGAGCCTTCAGCACAATAGACCTAGATTTGTGAAAGAATATAGTGCATAGCAGATACCACAAAGCAATATTTACGCCTTTCATTTTCTGATCTCCTTGAAGACCAATTAAACTAGGCCTGAAAAGTATATGTAGACATTGTAGGGCTTACAATGTGGAACCTTAATTGGCGGCGGGATGAAAAAGTGCTGACATAATCCAGTTTGATGCCGCTCATCGTGTCAACTTAAAACAAATAGGCCCTCTTTAACCCTGGCGTTGCGATCAAGAGTCAACACCAACACCTCCAGCCTACCCTGTGCCGATAATAATATAACTTAATCCTCGCCATGGCCTCCGATACCAGCGCCTCGCCGGCCGAGCTCTACGACTCTACCATGACTGTCCCCTCCGACTCCGAGAACTACTCCGCGAACCATGAGATGTCCTCTTCATCCACAAGCTCGCCTATGATTCTCTACAAACCGCCAACTATCTGGGGTATCCTACGCGGTGCAGCTATCAACCTCTTCCTCCCTTTTGTCAACGGCTTGATGCTTGGTTTTGGCGAGTTGTTCGCACATGAGGCTGCCTTCCGGCTGGGGTGGTCTAACACCAAGGTATGCATGATATGATTCAATGCTACGCAAACCTCACGACTGACAATCACTCCTCACAGATCTTCCCTACATATCGCCGGTCACACTCAGTGGGTCCTGGAGTTGAGCTTCGGGAGCTTCCTTCAGAGCGGAGACGCACCCCTGCTGGACTGAAGGATACCGCATCTCTGGAGTAAAGCATTTCCCTCAACTATTTGGTCCGTTGAAGCATTTACACGGAACACAAAACCGAAGCATCTTTGATTTGTGATTGATACCTCTGTGTACACCTGAAGTCTGTGTACATAGACCCGTTGAACTGGGTGGCGTTTGGCGAATTAGGATACGCAAGCTCTTTATGAAAATATCAGAATATCCCCGAATCTACCTCTGTTTAGAATCCCCGAGTCCCCTGTACCTTGACCCGTAGCCATGATCCGGGTTGTTTACCGCTCCGCCCGGCAGAAAAAAGTCGCGCCGAGAGAGGCAGGAGACTCTCTTCCGCATCAACTGCGTCCCCATCACTCGCTTTTCCACCTCCCACTACAATGATGGGACCTGTTGGCCTGAAAGGGCCCAATGTTACCGCGGCGTTTGCTCGTCAGCGGGTGGCTGCCATGTCCCGGTCCACTCGATCTGTTCGTTCCCCGTGACTTCTCGGACCAAAAACATTGACTGACTGGATTTCGCAGATCTCGACCTTCCGGTCCCAATCGCTTCGCTTCCCCGCCAACCGGGGACAATTTAAGTCGGCACTGTCCGGAAATGCCCCCTGGCGCATGGCACCGGCCGCCATCGGTCCGGCCGCAATTCGTTTCAACTCTACGTCCTCGAACCAACCACCCACCGAAATCGCCGATAAGGCAACAAATTCCGAATGGTCAAATACATCAGACCTTTTTGACATCACAACCATTCCCGAGCGCATTGGATATCTCAAGGAGCTTGGACTGGATTACGGCTGGGGCCCTTCGTCCATGATTCAATGGCTGATCGAACACGTGCACATCTGGACAGGCATGCCCTGGTGGGCTAGTATCGTGGCTGCTGGTGTCATTACCCGTCTACTTCTGTTGAAGCCAGTCATGGATGCCGCTAGTATGGGAGCCAAGATGAGGAACGTCAAGGAAGAGACCGACCCAATTCGCACGAGAATGGTCGAGGGAACGCGCAACGGTAACCAGCAAGATGCTCAGATGGCAAGGGCTGAGTTGTCTGAGATTCACAAGCGGGAGGGAATTGTCGCATGGAAGTCGTTCGTTCCCATGGCGCAAATCCCGCTTGGTTATGGTACCTTCCGTGTCGTGCGAGGAATGACTAGTTTACCCGTACCCGCTGTGGCCTCTGAATCTGTCGCCTGGATTAATGACCTCACTATTGCTGATCCGACATATTTGCTGCCGGTCATGTCTGCGGCCATGCTGATGGTGGTTCTCAAGGTAAGTTTGATCATATAATGTTGAAGCAAATGCCGTGCTGACTGTGGAACAGAAAGGAGGAGAAGCTGGCACAATGCCCGTCTTGAACTCGTCTGCAGGAAAGGCCCTAATCTACGGCCTTCCTACCGTTTCTTTTGTTTTCATGGCTTTCATGCCTTCCGCCTTACAGCTTTACTTCGTCGTAACCGGTGCATGGGGTCTTGGCCAAACGTACCTCATCAACTCGGAAAAATTCCGGCAATGGATGGACATGACAATGGTCAACAAGACAGACGCTGGAATGAAGCACCTGTCTAACCTCACCAAGAATACCCACAGCAAGGGCCTTCGTCTTCTGATGGAACGGATTGAGTTGGAAAAAGCCGAACGCGAAAAGGCGCGTGCCCAAGGCTTCCACCTCCCCGAGAAGGATAATGGTGACAGGGCCCCGGGAAAGGTCAGTCTCGTTGACCGCTGGGTGGCCAATGCCAAGGAAGCTGGTAAGGGTATGGCAAAGGATATCCAGGAGAAACTGAACACCAGTCCCACGAAACAAACGGGTCGCCTCACTGCCGAAGAACAAAAGCGGGCGATGGAATATGAGACTCAGCGAAGTGTTGAGGAGAAGGCTATCCGTGACGAGCGTAACCAGGCTCGCAGAAAGGAGCACATTACGAGACTCCGGGACGAGATGACGAAGGCAAAAGACTCTTCGAAGCGCAATTAAGACGTTGCGCTTGGACAGCAAGCCTGGGTTTAATTGACGTATGTTTATACAAACTGTAAAATATGGCGCCACCGCATTTGTACTTGTGATTTGGGATTAGAATCTATTTCGACTGCCATCTCCACTGGCTTATATATTTTGTTGAGATCTAGGGTCACTGGGGACTCGGTACTCAGGCAGTTTCTTCATGGTCACCCTAGTGAAGGCCGTGATATACATTTAAATCCATAGCCCGGACAGCCCTGCATAGACCCATTCGAGATCTACCACTCCCATGATTGTGAGGTCGTCCTTACTTCTCACGATCACATCTGCTGGGCCGTTGTTGTAACTTTTACTTACCATCTCGGGTATCATGGACTCTGGAATCATTAGAGATGCAAATCTTGATTCTGCATTCTTTTACCCACAGATTGAATTAGACTGCTGTTGAAGTTGCTATTCGTCTTGCCCGATGATATACTGGAAATAATCGCTGACCGTCGAAAACCCTAGGTCTCTGTCACCTGAATTCGCCTAGTCATTGGGAGTATACCCGTTAAGATTAGGCAACCTAACCAAATACGTTCACACCTCCGTTCTATAGAATATTATGTGCTTTCCATGTAAGCGCCCGCATAGGAGCAGAAAACCCTGCCATGGGCGTAGATAGACTCCCAATACAGGGGAAATCGATGCTAAAGAGATGCAGCATAAAATTGGCCATTTGTCTATAAATCGACTGTATAGCGCAAATCGACACCTTCTTTGAGTAGCCTTGATTCCGCCCGCAGAAACAGATCTTTAAGATAAATACCATCTATAAACTCCACCAGAATAAATGGGCTTAACCCAAGTGGGTTTGTCTCAACTAGACCCCGAGTATGAATTTGTGGTACGGGGATAGTCGTCTTCTTGCGAATTAAATGAGTAGTTCCACTTCCATAGCCACTTCCATAGCCACTTCCTCGCCGGAGAAACACTGCTAATGCGAGGTAAGCAGAGAAGGATTGCAGTGCCATTGTTAGTAATTAGCTGTTGGCATAGATTGTAGGAGCCGTTCAGGAAGCCGCCATCGAGGCGGCAGGGATGTCGTTCTGGGAGCAAGGATGTCACCCAGGTGCAAAGTCGTCCATCTAGATGAACATCTTCGGTCCTGCGAACCCAAATATCCTCTTCGGTTTGATGAGGAATATCTAGGCACATGTCACAGTCCATTACGATAGCAGGAGGTAGTTGAATCCGTGGGCATGGTGCGGTGTGACTTGTATAAAAGATTGAGATTGGCTAAGAAGGTGAATGCAGGTAGGATCAAGCGAGTGGCTGATTGAATTACAGACCGCCTAGACTATGAAATCTCATCGTTTCATAGAAAGATGCAACAGGCCAATACAGTCTTGTAGTGTTTGTATGATTGTTGAGTTGAAGTGTCCAACCGAGAATCGAGCTACATAGATCATCGAGTATGACAGGGGAGATTTCAAGTCTATCATTGTAATGTCAAAGAGAGAAACAATACAGATCCAGTCTGTCATTCCAATTCTCGAAGCCCATATCATCAACGCTAAGTTATTTATTAAACATGAAAGTATGGATATCCTACAATGAGAATATCCCGAATTTATCGAAACAGCCGTCTTCCACCAGCACTTCCTGAGTTCCACGTGAATGCACCTCGAACTCCCAAGTTTTCCATACTCAATCCCGAGTAACCGACACCACCACCTTCGCCATCACGCTTGACGCGCCGTACAGCTTCGCGCAGATGTGAGGGTAGAAGCTGACCACGGTGTGGGTTTGGAGGGGGGCGGAATTCACGTTTAGGACGGAGAGGAGTAGCGGGATGAGAAGAGGGTGCAGAGTTGTGGTGAGGGGGGATAGAGGATGCAGGCGTGCGGTCAGAGTCATGAGGCTCTTTCTTGACACCACTGGCAGAGCCGGGGACTGGGGTGCCTCCAGGGGTTGGTGTTGAGGGTTTCGAGTTTGTGGTTAAACCTGCAGCTCTTGCCTGTGCTGCGGCTTCGGCTGCAGCTTCTTCAGCCTCGAATGCATCGCGTGCGGCTAGATCGTGTGCGACAGCCCATTGAGCTTGCACTGTTCGTGCCATTTCGATCATTTCACCGGCGAAGACCTTGGTGAAACCGTTGACCGTGGTGACCACGCTGGCAGGGACGGATTGTGATAGAGCATGGTTGACGATACGGCGGAGTGTTTCCTTGCGCAACTTCGCTCGCTTGAAGAGGTCGTATCTCTCTGATTGCATAGGATTGAAAGCGTCAACCAGGATCCTGTTCAGGAAAGTTAGTATCAGTACCACCAAAAGAAGAAACAATGGGCAAAAACGTACGCAAGATTCTTCTTCTCAGCCTCGGTATCCGTAGTACCCTCTTCCCGCCCTAGTAGCTCCCCTTCGTCGTCGTCGTCATCATCATCCCCATAATCTGCACCGCCGCCACCACCTCCGCCGCCGCCAGAAGGTCCACCTCGAACCGAGCCCTCGTTATCAACCGACCCGAATCGCGTGGAATCTCCTGCCCTAGCGCTGAGGGCATCTTCGCGCTCCCGTTCACGCTCTTTCTCGGCTTTGCTTTTTCTCCCTCGCTTCTTGCCCTTTGCTGCACCAGAAAAGACTCCATCAGCGCTCGCTCCACCGAGACTCCCTGTGAAGCTCCCTGTCACGCTTCCGGCATCACTGGTTGCCCCGAAGCTTCGCTCGCCAGCGTCCACATGTGCAGGAAAGGAGGTTTGGCGCAGTGGGTGCATGCGCGGCTTTTTGCCGAGTGGTTGTGAGGCGGAGGAGGAGATCGATGGTCGTTTGAGGGGGTTGGAGGGCGGTGGTGACGACATATTGAAGGGGTTTGGTGGATGTGTAACGGAATTCTGAGGCGCAATCTATGAAGATAACGAATTAAAGGCGATGGGTGATGACAGGTGCCGCAATGATGTTCGGTCGATTGAAAGCGGTAGAAGAGCGCTAGTTGAAGCTCTCGTGAGGTCCGCGGATATCGCGCCGCTGTTGCAGTCGGCCTGAACGTAGAGAACAGGCTACAACTGGGCTCAATAATGCTTTGAGCTGGAAGTAGCCTAAAAAGTCAAGATCGCAGTGATCTTTTGAATGCGACGGGTATTCGACAAGAAGTGCTGCTTGGACTTCAATGTCGAGGACCCAAGTTTGATGAGACACGAGATATGGACGCATCTGACCGCCTTCCGCATGCAGTAACTATACATCGCAGCCCTACAATGGCGCTGTGTACTGAACAATGAACAATTGACTTCCTTGGCTCTGGATTTCTGGGATAAAATAGACCATGAACTCGATCGAATTTAATATAAAAAGTGCTAAAACTATTATTGAAATTTCAAATGAAGGAATCGAAAACAGACAGGTCGCTCAGAGAGTAAGCATGCGATGCTGTGTACTATGACACGATAAAAGATTGACAGAAATAAATGAAAAGAAAACTCGAAAACAGTGTGCAAATATGGAGTGCAGAATTGACACGGTGGCAAACAACTGAAAGGTCGGAACGCGAGAGAAAGTAGAACCCGAACAAAAGACTCAAGAATGAGTCTTGTTAGAAGCCCTTCTCTCCAATACGCGGTGCCCCCCCTTTCCAGTCATTGCGTTCGTAGTAACGGAACACAAGGTCGTAACCGTTCAGATCGTGGACAATGCGGTCAACACGACGGTAGCCATCGACCTGCTCCATCTTGTTGCTGCGGCGGAGAGAGTGGCGCTGAGCATGCTGCTGATCATGCACACCATCGACTTCATCAATCTCATCAATCGCAGGCTTGGTCTCGAACAAGGTAATGCTGAAACGGCCAGGCTTGAAGATATCGACGACCTGCTGAATGATGTCGGCAGTGGCCTTGCCGTTCTGGGAGTGCGGAACGTTGGTCTCGAAAGATGCGTACGAGCACTGAGGCTCCGGCGTGACATGCACGGTAAAGTAGTGGGTCGGAGCCTTGCCATCTGGGGCAGGCACAACACCGTTGGCAGAGAAGCCGCACGGCGTGAACAAATAGGCATCGATGCGAGCATCGGGGAACTTGCTCTTAGGATACACGTCGGACAGGCCGCACGACTCAGAGACGACGGTGCCCAGGGCATGGCCCTCAGTGGTCAGCTCCGGCGGCAAAATACCACCAGTCTCCTCATCCATGTCGGAGGTGTTGCTGAAGACATCCAGGTGGTCGTCCTTATCCGCGTCGCGGTGGCGCTTCTCGGCCACGGCGGTGGCATTCTCCAAGTAAAACTGTTTGGCATTATCTTCGTCGAGATCGGTCATCAGAAGCTCGAGGGTCTCATCGTGCTCATCACAATCAGTGCGCGGAGCGGCCTCGGGGAAGGTCAGAACCTTGGTCTCGGTCTCGGAAAACTCGATCTCCTCCTTGGGGCTAGCCGGCGGGGTGAGCATGGTGCCAGGCTCAGTGAGGTACAGGTACCAATGCTCCCCATTCATTTTGCCGATCATGTAGGCGCTGCCGTTGACAAACAGTTTGTCCATAGAGCGCACCTCATCGCGCCAGCTGCGGTGAGGGCCACGCTGGCGGTCAGGGAACAGGAAGTTCTTGCGGCTGTAGAAAACTCTGTAAGGAGCCGCGGCCACCGTGATACCACGAGATGAAGGGGCAGTGGCGCGAGGGAACCCTGCGAACAAGGCGGCGATCTCCAAGATGCGCGGGAGACCCGAAAGAAGAGTAGTGGTTCCGCAAGTCTTCAAAATCAACTTGTGCGGCCAGACAAACATGCTGGATTCAGATAGAAGGTAGGCATCCATTTCATCAGACGAAATGACGGACAGTACCTGGCAGTTTACAAGGTCCAGCATGTCCTTCCAAATCTCCCCTGGGACTTTTTTGAGGCCCTCAGGGCCGGCGGCGCCTAGATCAGCAGGAGATGGTGCAAACCAGACCTCCAGAAGCTTCTCGGGACCTGTAAAATTCATTAGCAATGCGCTAACCACGGCCACGGAAGATTTGACAAACCTTCAAAGGCATTGGTCGAGTCGAGATCCTGAGTGGCCTCATAGTTGATCGTCAGAGACGGCGTCCCCGCGAACGAGGACGGCGACTGGGTGTAGTTCTGTGGAATACCGACGTAGACCATTTCCGCTGATTGTTTTAGCCGAAGCTGTTGTACTTGTTATGTTGAACGAAGCCGGAACAGTGACGTCGGACCGCCCTATGTACTCTCCGATAGGCTGTAGAAGCACTGTCTACTTACCCAGACGAACAAGGGGGCGATGCCCGTCTGAGAAGAGAAGGCCCTTGAACAAAAATAACTGGTCAGACCAGGCAGGTGAAATCTCCAACAGTCCAAAGGGCTGCTAAGGAGGGCGAAACGCGAAGGCGAGGAAGAAGATGCTAAGAGAAATGGTGACTAGCAGTCGGTACCCTCGTTCTGGAAGATACCGATACCGTTCAAAGTATCGGGTCTAGCAGACGAGAATTCTGCTTTTTAAAAAAAAGAGTATTGGGAAGATGCGCGCTTGTGAACACGGGAGTCGTGTTATCGAGGCCTAGAGACAAGATAAATATTAGCGATTGTTAAGACAATGGATTTGCTCCAGGACTGAAAGGCATTTTTTTATGCAACCAAAGCATTGACCATCTAGCCTGATCCAACGTCATAGGATCGAGGCTTTCACGTCGAGGAATAAAGGACGACCTACTTCGCGGGCTTAGACAAGAATCGCAGAAGGTCTCTCGAGCTCATGGAAGGCGAAAACAAAAATCGTCTTAAAAGAGCACGAAGTAGCAAAGAGCTAGAGTCGTGAACATCGGCGGGGTGTAGGAAGAGCGTCGGTCAGACAGTCTCACCCAGTAGCCCAATGAGTGCCCGAGATCACAATTGATTACTCTGGAGTAGCGAAATGATAGACAGGGGATCTCTCGCTAAAATTGGCGATTGGCGCGGGTTTGTTTAGGCCTTGTTGACCTCGAGAGGAGGGGAGGGTTGCGAAAATGTTTTGCGGTACGGCAGTTTGGTTGGTATGAGTGATTTTCTCTGTGGGCCCGCTCTGGGCGTGGGGCGACGGATCAAAATCTGTCGTAACACCAGGGTTCAGGTTAGATTGATTAAGGAATTGAACAGAGCCAGCAAAATAACACACCAATGGAAATAGGTCAAAAGCTGCAGTAATATACAGACTGTCGACGATGTTGGCCAGATAGAGGGGGAAAAGAAAAAGTGGGCGAGGATCTGGTAATCTCGTTTGCACACGAGCGGTGACGGCAGGCAAAATACACTTTCCGGTGCCTGACGGTTAATCGTTCTACGCAGTACAAGAGATATCTAGGTATGCATGCATTGATCAATAGAACTATTGAATTCCATATGTCTCTGGAAGAATTACCCCCTGAACGCCCCTAACACCATGCCGCGAAAAGCCCACGACCTATTTTGCAACACTAAATATTGTTTTAAGACGAACAGGCTTAGGCCTCGAGAATGATATGCGCCAGCTGCATTTCACCAGACTCCAGAATCCTGGATGCAATGATTTCACCCACCGCGTCAGACAATCGTGCCTGCAGGTCATCGGTCACAGTATGGCCATTAGTCAGGGACTGCTTGCCCCGCAGTGAAGCCAGAACAGATACAAGCGCAGTCAGAACGCGTTCAGCAGCCGGGCGACGAGCAGGGTCATCCAGTCCATCACTGAGCAGCTTGCTGTATTCACGGAGGTTGGGCACGATAAGAACTCGAACTACTTCAGATCCTCCAATAGCTTGCATTCCAATGACGGCACCGTAGTGAGCACCGAACGGCTTGGAAGGGTCGAGGAAGCTCTTGAGACAGGAGCGCACGAGTCGGGGCTTAAGCATGTGAGAGGCGTGGGTGTACTTCTGGGCAATGCGACTGAGGAGCGAGGCGGCCATATCGCGAAGCGCGAACTGTTCGACAAGATCGGCATTTCCGCCGAGTTGGCGGCCGATCAAGCATGTAAGAATAGAGGGCACAAGCGAGGCAATCTGTTATAGTTAGCTTCTGAATCCCCCTTTATTGGCAGACTTTACTCACGTAGGGATCCACGTAAAGAGACTGGTTCTGGACCAATGCCTCGGCCATGTGCATAACCTGGGTGAGAACAAAGATATCCTTGAGGCTGTGCGTGACCTTTTCGGCAATGAATTGGACAAAGTATGGTACCAGCTGGTGCAGACCTGGGTCCTCGCGTAGACTAGAGTATCCAGAGGTGCGATAATCCTCGCTAGTCTCATCCAAGAACGCGCTGCAGACCTTCTCGAAGTATAGCTGGAGCTCTCTTGAAAGCACATGTTTCACCAACGGTTTCACAGACACGTCGCCTGTGCCGCTCATCGCCGAAAGTGTAGAGTTGGCATTTGGTCCCTTAGAGACCAGTTCGAGGTTGCGAGAGTCCGCGGCGGTAGGATTCTGGGGGATTGATGGTTGCACACCTTCTACAGCCAACCAGTGGGCTAGATAGTAGATAGAATGTTAATGACTGGAAATCAAGCTCCATTATAGAGGAAACCACTTACCAGTAAAGGAGACTTCGCGGGGCACCTTTGGCAAAGGCGCATTGATCAATTTCTCAAAGTCCACCTCCTCATCTTCAACGTAGAATAGCGGTTGGCCGGGGCCCAGAGAGGCCTCGCCAAAACGCAATGGGCGGGTCGAGTCGTAGCCATACAGTGGCTCCACATCCAGGTTGCGCAAGGCCAGCGAGATGTCCTGTGTAGTCAGAACTGTGCGCTTTCCATGGCGCATTGACTTGAGCGCCTCCTCCAGCACCTGCGCAACTCGGTATTCGACGTCTCGGGCCAGGTTCTCGGTCACATCGTGGTTGAGGTTGTTGATGCCGACGGACTCAGCCACGTCGCGGATGTTATCGGGGTTCCAGACGGACATGCTGGGCAGTCACAATTTCGATTGCAGTTGTAAGAGAAAGAGAGGCGTGAGTGATCCGTTGCGGACGGTGAGGCGTGTCGCGACAGGCGCCGACGAGCTTGGATCGAATATATGGCGGATTAATAAGCGGGTCGCATGCTGGAACCGCCAGCGGATTCAGAAAGCTAGACGATGAATGAAAGATCTCTCAGGGAATTAAGTAGATATAACCCTGAACCAAAACCGAAAGCTGAATAGACAATTGTCACCAGGGTGAAAGCTTGTCGATAAAGGATTGCGCTAGTGGCAGTGCAGTCACCCGTACCAGCATATGGTCCAATGGACGCACCCGAGGTCTAACTACTAGGTTCACATTAAAGTAACAATGCAATTTCGTAGAATTAATGATATCAGGATAACAATACAACAAAGTGGGAGAGAGCACAAATGACCAGAAGTCAGTACGCAAGAGCGAAGAATTATTCACGGCTCCTCTGGGTATCACAACAGACAGCCAAATTCACTGAGCACTTTCTTTTGGCTCTTCCTGGGTAGCCTGCTTGGGGCCTTCCTGCCCTGGGAGCTCAGCTGGAGAAGGCTCCTCAGCCTTTTTATCCTCCTGCTTGTCGTTTTTGTCCTCCGGTTTGTCTTCAACCAAGGGAACAATCCGAGCACTGTCCTTCAACTCCGGGCCCTTGCCACCATAGGTCTTGGGAATTTGCTCCAAGACCGAAGCAGGGAACTCGCGCGCCAGGTTGGCACCGTTGGTGATGGGGTGGAACTTGCGGGTGGTGTTGCGGCTCAAGATGAGCTTCATGGCAGTAAACATCCAGCCCATGATCGCAGGGACATTGACGAAGAACTTCTCGCTGAGGAGTTCGGGATAGGCAGTGGCAAAGACATCAATGACCTTCTTGGTTGCGGTCCGCACAGAGGGATCCATACGGAGGAACTTGACATTCAGGTAATCATGAACCTGAACCATCTGGTATGGGTCCTCGCCGTCATACTCAATGACCTCGGTGGCATCCTTCATCTTCAATTCCTGCACAGCGAGCTCCATGAGAGCGGCACGCCATTTGACGAACCTAGGAAATGTCAGCGTGAATTCTGGTCAAACGATGTGACAACGTACTCATCGGAGTCTGCGAATGTCGCATTGACGTCCTTAACTGCTCCATAGATGTTCCAAGTAAACACAAGCGGCCGACCATCTTTTTCGTAGGTTGTCAGGTATCCCAGACCAGCGTATTTGGATGCGCTGTACTTTCCCGACTCGGCCAACGCCAGCGGGTTCACGTCCTTGCGCCATTGGAGTGCCTTGCGAAGCTGCTCTTCTGCTGCCTGGACATTGCCCTCATTGGCGCGCAGGAACTTGATTAGCACATTGACAGTAGGAACGTCAGCGCTGTCCTTGAGCTGCACCCCCCACATCTCATCGTGTCCGATGCTGGTGAGGACGGCCGGAAGACGATCAAAGAACTGGCCGAGCGCCGGGGTCTTGGTCAGATAGGAAGGCTTCTCGACCTTTTCTTCAGGCTTAGCAGCTTCGGGCTCTGCATTGCTGGCAGTAGTGTCTTTAGCAGGTTCTTCTTGCTTGGCCGGGGCACTGATCGCGGGTTCATCCTTGGCAGCCTCGGGGGTTTCCGCCGCAGTCACGGGAACCTCAGGCTTATCGCCTTCTACAGCCTCCACTGGCTTAGGCTCGGGCACAGAATCAACTGGTTTTTGGTCCGACATGACTTGGAACTGAGGATGTGAGGATGGCAAAGGAGGGAAATAAGGGGGATGTTATGGGCAGGGGGTAGTTGCCTTGTCAATAGTCGGGCCACATATCAATCTCCCCACCCTATTTAGTTTCACCTCTTTATTATTACTATGTCTAGAACTTCCCTTAATTTTGTTCTCTAATTGCTATTACTCGAAACATGGCAGATCCCGAGATCGGCTCAGACCAATCACATGGCTTTTGATTGATAGAACTGGTTGTAGCTCTATACATGATTAAGCTAGATCTGTATCCTGCATAATATCTTATGGCCCGTCCCGATTAGGTGCCAGAGCTGATCCTGACCCGATTTTAGTAAATGATTTAGCAGGTCCTGTTCGACTTTTAAGTTAGCGAGTGTATAACGTATTTCCCTTCCGAGCTGGCCACCTAACCAAAAATTCCGTACATGATTAGACTCACCTTTTTCAACCACCTACCATGCCACCAATTCGGGTATACAGTATATCCGGAGGTTAGTCACGTAATTAGAAATGGCCCATAAATAGCAGGAAATAGGGGTAATGCAATACAGAGTCATTGATATGTCCAATTGGCTGGATACAGTACAAATCGTGACACTATTTAATGGTACTATGGTTGGAGGGGTGGCCAGCTCGGTAGGTCACTTTTAGTTGGTCCCGCTCAGCTGGGTGCCCTCTCCAAACAGGTCCTCACTGAACCACATGCTGGTCTCCTCGACCAGCCGGCGGCTATTTTTCACTTGTTTGGCCTTCAATCGCCAATATGCTACCTAAATTCTTGCAGAGTAGTTACACCCGCTACAAAGCGGATACCAATACATTTGCAACATGGCTACTGGAGACAGCCAACCAATGTGGCTATCAACCACCTGCCCTCTCTGCTACCATTTCCACCGCGGAAAAGGGCAAACGCAAAGGCAAAAACGATGGCTCAGTTGCAGATCCATTTCACTATAGTGCAACTATCAAAGATCTGCAAAAGCTCGCCGAGGTCATTGCCAGTTCTGCTGTCACGGTACCTAAGTCAGTTCTCACCATCGCGAAACGCGCCATCAAATTGAGAAAAGCGGTCACTTCCTGGTTCTTGGGCCAGGGCGACTCTACAGGCAACAAGCATCATGCTCATTTCATCACCGCGCTGGAGCAAATCTGCGAGAGTCTTGAGTGGAAGACCAACCAGCCCTCGAAGCCCGACGCTAAGCAGCCACCGCCGACTTCTGAGGCTCAAAGTGACGACGCCGGTGCTGACAGGTTTCTAAACAAATTTGCTGTTCTCACCGTGGAGGAACCCCAGGATGCTGCTGCGCAAACTCAACCGACGCCCGCAGAATCGAAGAAGATGGTCAATGTGACTGTTGTTGAAGAGGACGACAATGAGGCAGCAGACTCGTATCTCAGTCAATTGTTCTTCAAGACCCTCTGCTTACTTCAGGACTTGAACAATATGCGAATATTCATTTCCATGACCTGGTCGGAGTATCGAGATAAGAAAATCGATCTTATGAATGCTGCTGTCGTGACTGACAGTGCTTTGCAACTTGCCCGAGGCCTTGTGCAGGAGGTGGAGGCTGACTGGCGCACTTCCCTTACGGGGGAAAGGGATGATGTCCAGAATATTGTCTATAACCTCGCTGTTTTTACCCGCGGCATTTCCGCGTCTCCATCCACTGAGATTGGCCTGCCATACAACAAGAACATGGCTGATATAGCCGACTGGTGCTATGTGCCAACCAAGGTCCTACTTGAGTCCTTCGCAGATGTTCTCCAGGTCAATCATCAGCCAGTCTTTAAAAAAGGCTACTTCGGCACCTACAATCCGAAAGCGGACAGAGAGCGGATGTCTCTGGGTCAGAAATTCAACGAAGACAAAATCATCCTTCTTTCGATTTTGCCAGAGTTTTGCATGGTCGATACATTCAAAATCCAGATGCCTACCGAGGACGCGATAACTCGAGGCCTTACTGAGTTTGCCAAGACCAAAAGGGTTACTCTGGGGCTTTGCTTCGTCTCCCAGATCTTCCTCGACGTTCATCATATCATGCGACACAGTACCTTGGGTGCATTTGGAGACCTCCGAATGTCTGGACTTCGCATCCAGAAGACTATTGATGACTACCTGCAATTGTCAAGAACACACCCTCAGCCCAAATTTTGGCCAAAAGAGGGTGACAAGGAGATTCAAAATATAGGGTCAACAGTGAAGTCATGGATCATACAAGATCTGTTCCTAGATATTCGAGTCCGGTCTAAACTCAATGGAATTGGCTCCCCGCCCGAAAAGCATGCACTCTTCTCGCAGCACGCTATCCTCTGCGGCTTGATCCTGTTCAACCTCAATCTTCGAATGCAGTTTCTTGGCCAGCAGCTCGTCACCCAATGGTACGACGTCCAACAACTAGCTTTCTTGCACAACCTCGTCATAGGGTCTCCAACACACAAAGATCTGAGATGGCCTGATATGGATGCTTTTATCAAGATCCATGGCGAGTCTCATATTTTCATTGGTTCGCGGCCAAAGAACGCCAATGAATCGCTGAATAGGCTAGAGTTGGCCGCAGGCGTCTCATCCGCTGCCAATTTTGCCCGCGATTCCCGGAGCAAAAGATTCCATAAACCTAACGGCAAGAATACCCGCTTGCTCAAGCCCACCACTGCAGTCGCGAACTTGTTTTTCGCCCAGTACGTTGGTTCTCCTCAGGAAGATGCCGGGATTTTAAACATTGACAGGATCTTGGACGAGCTTTCGCAGAAATCGAAGCTTGAATCATCCGGCAAGGAGCTTCAGGGAGCCAATCCTGAACTCATCATTGCACGAAAGTGGTCTAATACCCATAACATCGACACGCTGCAGCTTCTAGCCTTCCTGAAGAGCAAGCTATTTGAAGAGGAGCCTATCTTGATGTACAACTACTTCGGCATGCACAAACGCTCCGTCGAGTTACTCAGACTGATCCGAGACAAGGAGCACCAGAAATTTGTTCAATATTTCACGTCGGCGTATATGCCTGATGAGTCTTTCATCTCAAACATCGTCATTCTCATCCATCACGTTGCGCAAGGCTCGGCCCAAGGTGCACGTGCAATGGGACTTGCATCTGGCGGAGTTGAGGTGATGAGTCGGATTGTCACGAGCGCTGGCGACGTGATGCGGGAATATTTGAAGAAGAATGGAGATGTGGCATGTAAAGAGCTGAGAGTGTTCTGCAAGAACAAAAAGCCAATCCAAGATGATGTTGCTTATGATAAGGGCAAATCGGACGAACTGGTGTATTCTTGGCTCAGTCTTGAGGACGTTTTCGGTCCCAAGAATGTGGCCTCGCTCATGACTGGGATCCCCATAGCTTAGGCTTATGGACCTGGTGCCGCCTTGATGCCGACAACGGCCCGGACGTACGCAAACTCTGCTTCATTTTCTACTAGTGATGGTCCATACAACCATCTTATGACATCTCAAAATTTCCACGTTCAAGTTCAACAACTATCGCACCCCGAATTTAGCTAAGATATCACTTGAATCTTCTGGGGTGTCTCCATCTTATTGTGATTAAGAGTGGGTAACAGGTGACTATAGCCTAGGCAGGATCCGTGACAATTCTTATGTATTTAGATCGTGTCTCGTTCTCTCACCATCTCTCTTTCTTTCTTTCTTTCTTTCTTTCTCCATCCTTAGTTGCTTTGTTGAATGCTACTATGTTGATATTGTCTCTTCGTACCTGAGCTGTAACAGGATCTTTCAGTTCATCTTGGAACGTATTCCTGAGAGTTTCCTTGTTATATTTCGTACAAAATGTCTCGGAAGAAGACAGTTACTGTGGTCATTGCATGGGCTAATCAGTTGTATATTATTTCTTCTATAAAGTTCGGGTAAAAGGATTTCTCTATAGAGGTAGGGCAAGGGTTTCTAAAGGTTTGTTATCAAAGAATAGGGGTATCGGAGATTTCCTATCCTGGGCAGTGGGTGAATGCTGGAGAATGCCGTGTCCTTGAGATATAATAGCTAGAGCTCTCTCTTACCTCACCTTCTCCTCTACAACTCCAACATTGGAATAACACGCTCCTCCCACGACGACGTTTCACCCACTAGACCTACGTGCTTTGCGTATGTCCCTCATTCCACATCCGCTAGTCCGAAGAGGGAAGCCAAGGCGGGAAATTAAGGTTCAATGTGGGGCAGGATCCATCGGTTATGAATCCACTGTCCACGGGAGACGTCCATGTTTATATTGACACCTTCTCTTCTAAAGCCTATTGAAAAGTTTAATTGACAGTGTAGTTAGTATCAATCATTCACTATCTCTTCCATTCGGCATTTCTCGAGGCAGAGACTTGCCAGAACTACCAGTAACAAGCCTATTCCGATATGTCGAATGCCAACAAACTTTATTAGTTTGCGCAAGGAGATTGACGAAGCAAGTTTGGCAGTGGACTTGAGCTTTGTGGACGAGGGCTGGACTGATAAAGTAAATCTAATTTCTATTATATTCGGTGCAAATGGAGCTAGATCTTTATGAAAGTAGATAGGGAGATACGAAGTAACAAGAGAAAAGGCCAGCCCGTTCTCGAGATGCTAGGCATTGGTTGAAGAAATGACGGGAGAAAGAGATCGTGGTCGTTAGCCATGGCAACTTTCTACATTTTTTTAACTGAGGACTGGGAGGATGGTTGTAAACGTGATGGAAGGTTGAAGATCTCTTTGTCACCCAGAGGGAGCTGTATTTCAAGTTCCTGGCTAACTTAACGTGGTATAGCGACATCCTGGACCAATGCTGAATATCGAAACGATGAGCTCGTCAAGGAAAGCAACGACTCCTCTAAACAATTAGATGATGCCCCATTGCGAAAAACTATGCATTAACGTCACCCAGTGGTAGATTCAACCCTTCACATACACGCGAGGCTCAAAAAGTGATATGTGAGCAGATGCTGAAGGGCTGGGCAGAGCAGGGTTACCCGATTCCCACATCGAAAGAAAGTACCTCAATAGAAGTTATTCAGGTCAAATGAATGGTCACGACAAATATCCAGTTCCGTCCACCACGACTAAGACAAGCACTATACAACGCAGGCACCTACTTGTTTACTTAGAAAGTTAGATATTTGATTATTTCTAGTTATCGAAGCTGATATGTCTCCTACCTTTCATGTTACTGATGAAGAACTGAATTGAGGATGAACTCTTGATTTATAGTGGCCCACGTGATCGCCAAACCTGTACCAAATTCGATGGCTTCTCATCCCAGTTGTTCTGTCATTATCCGGCATCACTTCGCAGACATAAGTGACACGATCAGCTCCTCTTTTTGAACATATCATATTGATTGGTGCATTCCTTCTCTACTCACGTCTTGAATTCTTTACGATTTCTGGCGTTGGAACCTGCAGCCAACCCCAAGTTGCCCCTCAATTTAAGCAATGCCATATCATTGTCATTTCTCTATTCTTTGAACACACCAGATGCCCACAAGCCATTTGAGCAATGCAAGTGCAGACAAAGGTACCGAGATGGCACGAAATCCTTTTTCGGGCTGTCGTGCTAACCTGGACAAGACTGCCCAAAGTGCAAGGCTCGGCGTATAAATTGCGATCGGACCCTACCAGAATGTAGAAAATGCCTTTCCCGGGGACTACGATGCCCGGGCTATGGGATCATTCTCAAATGGGGTCATGGGGTTGCTAGCAGGGGAAAATTAGCAGGAGAACTGCTCCCAGTTCTGGCATCCGCAGAGGCAAACCCCGACTTCCATAAGGATTGTCAAGATAATCCCCTGAATCAATTTACACCCATTAGCCGTTACTTCACATCGATTGATCGTGGACTAGCGCTGAATCTTGACCCTACGACGTTGGAATTGATGCAGCACTTTCAGCGAAACATTGCAGGGAAGCTTGCTTGGGTGGATGGACCTACGAATCCATGGCGAGAAGTTGTCATTCCTCTCGCATGGATGTCACCAACAGTGCTTTGTGCTATGCTGTCTCTCTCTTCCGAAGATCTTGCATACAAATATGGGCAGGATCACCCTCGATATACATATCTGCAAGGCATATCACTTCAGTTACGAAATACTGCCTTAGCCTTGCTGGCGAAGCAGATAAGCTCTTTGAGAGAGAGGGAAATCCCACAGATTGGGAATATTGACCCCAGCGAGATCCGATATGCACTCGCTTCAATGCTCATACTATATAACGTTGAGCTCGTTAGCGCAGAGCCTATCAAGTGGCGAATGCACCTCCAAGCAGCTCGAGTGATACTCCAATGGAGAGAGCAGGCTTCCTCTTCATCTTCTCGCGCAACCTCATTTAACGAAATTGACACGTTCCTTCTTTACGAACACTATTACGCTAGTGTGTTTGCAGGCCTCACGACATTTAATGCAGCAGATGAGCTCACAGGGGCCAAATTTGAAAACTCAAACGATATCACTATCTTCAGCGACTTTGTGCGTGTTATTCATCGTGTGACACAGATTGAACGAGCTGCATATGATCAAAGGTCTACCGTGGATCCAACCCAAATTGAGGAGATTACTCGTGAAGTGGAAGTGGCAAGGCATAGAATGGCGCAATTAGGCCAAAAAATACACCTACAGGGCTGTCATGCACAACAAGATTTCCAACATCTGGTTTGCATCTTTTATCATGCTAGCCTGATTTACAGCTATCGGGTATTGACAAATGATTCTTCCTCGGACTCCAATGCTCAAGCCTCCCGAGACTCAATTTTGGATCATTTATGCTCCCTCTCGAACCGGGAAACTTTCGCTCATGATCTTGTCTGGCCTCTGTTCATTCTGGGAACCGAATGCAGAGGGCTTCCGGAGATGCAAGAGATTGTCTCTCGAGAGATGGAGGCTGTCATGAAAATCAGCGGTGCACTCCATCGACGCAAGGTTTTGCTCTTCCTCCAACAGTATTGGTCACTCGATCTAGATCGCAGTGCCACTTGGATATATCTTATGAGAGAGATGATGCCGGGTAACAGTATGTTAATTTTGTAAAAGAAATGGTTTTAGATTTAGTTAAATTTTTGTATGCCGTACTTTTACTCCAATTAAGAATCGAAACCGTGTCCAGAGGCAGGGCTCGAGAGATAACCATGGAGCTCGTCTTCGCCTGTGAACGGGCCATTACGAACAGTACCAGACTGACACTCGATACAATACCTCATGAAACGGACTGCAGGCTCTGCTCTGCGTCTTGTTTTGCTTGGGATAGGTGATATTTTGGGTGTTGTTTCGCATATTGTTGACTGTATCGGTCGAGGCCAGGTGAAACCTGGTCGCAAGAAAGACGGTATCCATGATCCATACATTGGCACGACAAGCGCATTTCGATGCTACCATTTATCGTAATCTTAGCCTGGGGCCTTCTTGTAAGGGAGAGGTATTATGCTGCAGTGACGTAAATGAGCTTGGGCTAGTCTCACATGACATGTTACTTAGGTCGGCACCAGGACTCAAGATAGATTCTGAGACAGCGTATTCTAAAACCCAAAGGTTATCTATGCTCTGCGCATATATTGAATTGCCTCTTCTGTGATTCGCTTACCACGTAGTACAAAGCCGTTTGACGATCGTCAGATCTCTGGAGCTTATCCCAACGAGGGACTACAGAGCCAACAACTATAAGTGTTCCATTTGAAGATTTAGTACATTGAACCCCTGTGAGAAGGTATCACAAGAGGAAACGACTAGGGTTGAAGAGGGCAACACGTTGCCTGTGGAACAGCTTTAAGCTGAAACGAAAACGAATGGAAGACCAAGAGTAGGAAATTGCGCTGGGGGATATTCATGGACAAAAAGCAGAAAGCAGACTAGTGCGAAGACAATCCGAAATCTAGAGATTCCACCGTAAGGGAAGCAAGTAGACCAAGAATATCAAAGAAAAGGAAATGACTAGGGAAACCAAGTTCATTCCTATTGTCCACTGCGGAAACGCTGAGGCATTTGAGGCATAGGAGGTGGGGGAGCAGGCTCCGATCCATCATCATCTTCCATTTCCTCGTCCACATCCTCGGGGTGACTAGAAATAGAAAATTAGCGGAAGAACAAACCCCAAAACAAAACAAGATAGACACAAACTCACGCAAGCAGTTCCTTAATATTCCGCATCTCATAATGCTTCTTCCGCTGCTCCTCAAAATGACGGTGTTTCTCACGGGCCTCCTCAGTACTCAAAAGCGGATCATCAGCAGGCGCATCCGAGCCATTCGCCCCACCACCAACATGAACATGCTTCTCGCTTTTATGCGAGTCCATGCTCATACTGCGGTCCCGGAACACGCGAGGATCATCCGAAGCCACAGGCTGGACGTTCTCCTCTGGCTCACCAAGTTCCAAATCCGGAATCTCCTCTTCAGAAACACCCTTGCGATGCGAGGGCTTAGCCAGCTCAAGCTCATCAACAGCGATACCCTGCGCGTCGAGGAGGGAATCCTGAGCCTCATCGAGGCGGATTTGTTCGTCGTCTTCGGCGGGGTCGTAGTGCGGGGCGTATGGGGTCTTTGGCTCGTCGATCTTCATCTTTGCCGTGCGCTCTTGCTCGGTTAGGTAGAGGTTTGCTTCGTCCCATTTGAGGCGAGGCTCGTTTTCGTCTATGGCGCCGGCGCCGGACTGGCGGCGCGAGTTTGTACCTGGCCGCGTGGTCGATGAGGATCTCCGGCGGCCTGCGTTTTGCAGGGTGTTTTGCAGGGTGAGTTCCTTTGTTTCTTCCGGCTCGGAGATCGTTGGTATGGTGGGCGGCGAGGCGGCTGTCACAGGGGAGGGAGCATGGCCGGTGAAGGAGTTGGAGTTCTTGAGGATGCCTTGAGGGTGACAGGTTAATTTGGTTTGTTGCGGTTGTGGGTGTGGTTTGGAGTTACCTTTTGGCCGTGCGTGCACGTCTTCGGAGCTGTGCGCCTTGGCAGGCATGTGTGGTGCGGTAGTCATGGTGGGTTGGTAGATAGAAAAGAAGTGTCGGTTGAGTTGAAAGTGGACACTGGAGGTGGTGAAGAGTTAAGGATGTGGGAGAGGAGGGAAATCAGAATGGTGTGGCTTGGTTTATTTTTATTCTATCACAAGCCGCTCCTCAGCTGGAAAGAGGCTGAGCACCTGATGGAATAAGCTGGGGAAATAACCGGGAAATCTGAGTCAGACCAAAAGAGTCAAAGAGTCGGAAAGTCACAAGAGAAAAGAAAGAGGAAGTTGATAAGGTCAAGTGGAGGGGCCCTCGATGACGTCGGCCCGATCATCCACCCGATGCCTGAAACCGCTTGGGGATACCTCGTTGCCTTTCTAGGTGAACGGTGGTCTACAACGGGAAAAGATCATATCACTCTAGTTTCTGACGCCAAGTTCAATGTCCTATGAGCCTCTGTTTTATGTCTTTTGAGTTTCAGCCCGCAGATATTGGCGCATGCAGTACGTACAGCTATTCCGGAACGGTCAAGGGAAAAAATAAATTAAACTAGAAACAACCACCACCACATCTTTGAATGTATTCAAGAACGCCAATCATGATCCTGAGCCAAGCCCAGAAGTAAGACCTAGGCAAGACCACCAAAGTACATGAATGCCTCAAAAACACCAAATAGATTGCATCGCCCGAAGGGGGTATATAGATATATATGCAGAGCAAAGAAAGGACCAAACAAGAAAAAGAAAAATAAGACAAAGAAGACAATCAAATCTCGAACCAGCGGAGAAAAAGAATGGAAAGTGCCCGAGGCAATAATGCCAGGGATATGAACAGTGAAAACAACTCTATGCAATAGAGTCAAACTCCTCACGCTCACGAAGCCTATTTCGCGCCAGGGTATCACCCCCACTGGCAGACAACTGCATCCAGTGCAGTGCCAGACACATGCTCTGCGGATCCGACTTTGAGTCCTTGTCTCGGCGGTACATCATCTCAGCCTTGAATGTATCCCGCGGAAGAGTCAGAGGGAGGGTCACGCGCGGCAGAAGCTCGGGATGAGTCAGGTATAGAATGGCAAGCTCGCGCTGTGCGACTGGGTTACCCTCTTTTGCGGTGATGATCCACATGCCTGCAGCATCTTGGATGGCATGGCCAGGTTGGGGTTTGAAATCCGATGCGAAGGGAGGATGACGACGAGACAGTTCCTGGGAAACGATGCGGTCTGCGATCTCGACTAGGCTGTAACAGATCTCTTCTTTGAGGCTTAGTGCCGCTAGACCAAACTGGAGGAAAGCCGTGCCACGGGTTTGGTCTAGTTGATCTCCTGGAACGAACGCTGAGATGAATTGAAGATCTCTGAACAGGGTCTTGGGCTTGACTTCCAAGATGAGGTCGCGCATCGTTGCCACGATCTGTGACTCGGAAGGAGTGGAGTAGTCGGATCGCCTGGAGCCACCGGTCACGGATTCCGGTGTGGATAAGGGTAGTACCGTGTCCATCTCGGGGAGGTTGCGGCTTTGCACCTCCGAGAAACTGTGGCGCGACCGACGAAGCTGTTGAGGGCTGCTCCGTATGTCGCTTTCCCCAGTAGCGAACGTCGTGGTTGAGCCTGCATCTTGCGAGATCAACGACGCAATCACCAAGGACCGCAGGTCGCGTAGAGCATTGAGTTTGACGAAGGGACTGCCGTGGCGCGAGAACACCTCAATCAACCGATGGAAAACAGCCTTATACGAAAAGTCCGACTGGTCATCAGATGGCTGTGATAGCTTGGGCGAGTCCTCTACACTAGCGGCTTTATGACCAGAAGCACGGAGATCATCGAGAGACCTGCTCCGACGATTTTTCAGACCACGCGGCTGAGGCCGCTGTTCATAATCAGCATAGAACCTCTGAACAGCAGCGCGTCTCCGCATTTCGATCTGGATCCGCTTCTGGTTCAGCGCATTCGCGAACCAGGCGTCCGTTTCACTGCCACAACTCCATACTGGCGAGCCTAGGTCACTGAGAAGTAGACTAGTCAGAGTCTGTCTCAACCCGTCCATGAAAGCCGCCTTCCCGTGTGTTTTGCGTTCGACACGACGGGGTTGACGGGCTGCCGTTTCACTGAACATTGACGGTGGCCGCGAATAGGCGCTTGATACACTCGCAGCATACATGGGGTGACGCTGGGGCGCGGACCAGAATGTACTGCAAGTATCACCAGTCGACGTTGAAGCAGGGCGGCCTGGGGACCCTCCAAGGGAGGAGACATCAATTGACGGCATGTCTCGCTGAGGCCGCCACTTGTCGGATATGATACTTTGGATAGACGGCTTGCGACCCAGTGAAGGAGTATCTTGAGAAAAGCGAGACATGGGATCAGGCACCGGTAGGTTGCCCCCATAGAACTGGGAAGCATGGTTTGTTTCATCGTTCGCTGTTGACGGACGAGGGGTCATAGGCATGGACAGGCCCGGAAAGGCGCGAGTACCGTAGCCCTCATACTTTGAGCGTTCCCTTTGGAAGAGCTCACTTGCCCACAGCACTGGCGTCTCGGCCATCGTCTCACCCACTAGTTTGTTGATGCTCGTCCGGACCTCGTAGCAGAAGCGATGGATTCGCTCCTCTCCTTTGCAGAAATTCTCAATACCATTGTGTGACAACCATTTTCGGGTCAGCTCGACTTGTTCATCCGACAGCTTGTTCGGTCCACCCTGACTGCTAGGTGCCTTCATCATGTTCATGACCTGCACCTCAGGCTTCTGGAACAAGGACCCGCCTAGCGACCGAGGTCCATAGCGAGGTCTCTGCTCTTCAGGATATTGGCTGAACAGTCGAGCGGAGTAGATCATCGTTTTCAAAGCCATAGCCACATGCTTAGCCTCTTCATACTTCATGGAGTTCTTGACATCGGTCATGTACCACATCTTATCACGGATCTTGAAAAACGTGGCCATTAGATCCTGGACCTGAGTTTGAAGTCGGCGGAGGCTGTGATCCAAAGATAAGAAATCACTCTCACAACGCTCAATCACAGCTCGCGATTGATTTAACGAGCGACTGTAAGAATCATGCATCGGACCCAGGATCCATGAATCGTCTGACCGAGTTGAGCTGGGTGTCGCCCGCTGCCCAAGCTGCCTTGAAGCATTCCACCAGTAGTGTGCATCGACAAAATCGGAGTCATGGTGACAGGAGAACATGGCCTGATTAAATTGCTGCTTCAGAGACATGTTTTGTGTACGGGGCAAAAACTCATCGTCCGAGTCTCGGATGCGATTTTCTTTGACAAGACGAACGATTGCAGTCTGCAAAGCTTCATGGTTTTCATCCAGCCCGAGAGTGGAGTGTGCGTCATCATCGCTTTCAATGACCACACTTTTGGAGGTGTCATCTTTACTTTCCGGAAGAAGACTCCAGGTCAGACCATGGCCGTCTGCTGCAACCGAAAATATTGCCCAATGCTCGTTTGAGGGATGTTCTAGACTCAAACGCTCATTAGGGTGATCCAGGTCAGTTAACTCAAAGCGGATCCGAGCTGCCTTTTCACTCAGTCCATTGCCTGCGGCTAATATGGATGAACTGAGTGAGAATATGGAACCGTTGTTTGAGGTGGGCCTTGAAGTATCATATTTTGAACGGATAAATGCAGATTCCATAGACTCTGGACGACTGCTGAAGGAGGGTGAGAGGGTGGGTGAATGCATAGATGCAGAGGCTGGTGAATGCAGAGACGAAGCAGATGATGACTGCTGGAAAAGAGCGTCTAGAAGCGTGAGAACATCCAAAGCAGACATCATAAGGAAAGCCGAAGAGGGATTTCGCCGAGGGGGTGGTGTTTGTGAGGAAGGGATGGGAGAATCAACCGATACTTGAGAGAGCATGTTCTCAACACGCTCCTTGATAATTGGACGAGGGATCGAGAAATGATGCCTAGGAGTCGTCAGCACCAGCACCAGCACCAAACATTGACATGATGTAGAACGTACATTGAACGCAAAACAGCAAATACTTGAGAGTAGGCACGGTGCCCAACCTGGTTCAACAACTTCTCGCGGGCATCCTTTCTGATATGGAAGTCGAGGAGAAGACCGTGCGTCTATCGAAAGGAAATGCTGTCAGTCTCATAAGAACATCACGGACTAAAGACTCATACCTCAGGGTATGTCAACGCGCCATAGAGGAACTTGGAAAAGAACCACTGGACAAACAAAAACTCCAAGAAGCGATTACGGCTCTCGGGGCTATCCAGTTTCCGCAAAACGGCCTTGGCAAACTGAAGAACAGCGTGGGGGAAGCCGCCGTCTGGATCGTCAAGTACGCGGAACAGGTCATCCACAGCCGAAGCAAAGAACTCCTCTGCAACGTCCGTTCGCAGTGGATCCAAGGCATCCATATCAAAGTCCAAGCCGGTCGGTGCAGTTATAGGCTCCAAAAGAAAAGCACCGGTTTGCAAAATATCCATAAGGTAGAGTTCAAATTTGGGGCGGGCTTTCCAATTGCTGCCAATAGTCCAGGAAGTAAGAATCTGGCCGATGAGAGGGTAGTATCTACTACTTCCATGGGAGATTAGTTGAGCGCAGACGGAAGACCACACGTCCATCCGTAAGCGGGACTCGGCCGTATCTGGATCCAAGGGGGCAGCAAAAACGTTAAAGAGAAGTATAGACAGTGGATCGGTCCTCTCAAAGGCATAAGCGTGGTCCTTAAAAGCGGCTGACTGAGCCTGGCTTCGACTAATATAGGATTGGCCGCGAGCACGGGAGGTAGAAGGAAAAGCGGGATCATTGGAGTCCAGAATAGTAGCTGGGGAGGTAAAAGCGGCCAGTTGGGACGAAGACAGGCTTCGTAACCGGTCGACCAAGAACTGAGAGTCAGAGCGGACCAGCCGCAGAATCTCTAGGAAGTCAGCCCTGGACTGCGGGCTCATCTGGTGAAGGAAATCCGGGAAACGATCAATGTCCATGCCGGACGGGAGTTCCATGGAGTCCGCCTGGTCATCGTTCAAGGATGAGTGACAAGATTCCTGGATATCATGCAGTGTGTGGTA